ATATGATTTCATTTGTATTTAAAAACCACTCTGGATATATCTCTACATATTTGTTCATGTGTGTATAAATATGAGAATGTATTATAAAAACTACAGACTTATTTACACTGGATGCATTGGAGAAATGAGAGGAAAAAACATAAGAAAGTAAGGGGCAGATGCATCATGTACTTGGAATGCCTGTGCCATGAAATTCATTGACATTTCAGCCAGGCAAAATCTCAGATGTGATCGTTGACACACATGCAGAGAATAACTCGCCGTGTCAACAGTGCCAATTTGTTATCTCTTATTAAAGTGACCGCCAAAGGATAGCATTGGATTGAACCAAAAACTTAATTTGGGAGAGTCAAAATCGCAGTATGAGCAATTTCACACCAATCAACTTAATAGGAAAGATTTAATGTTTCACAATTAAACTAGAAAAAAAAAAACAAGCCCAATGGCACAGGTTTACAGTCCCAGATACTTGGGAAATGGAATCAGGAAGAGTTCAAGGTTTCCTGGGCTACAGAGCTAATTTAAGGCAAATCTGAACAATTCTGTGAGATACTGTCTCAAAATTCAAAATAAAGAAAATGAAAGTTAAGTATGTAGCTCAGTGGTGGAGCACTTGCCTAGCATGAACCAGACCCTAAGTCCAATCCCTGTCATCCAAAGAGAGGGAAAAGATAAGAAAGAGAAGAAGAAGAGAGAGAAGAAGGGAAGGAGGGAGAGAGGAAAGGAGGGAGAGAGGGAGAGAAGGAGAGAGGGAGGGAAGAAATGAAGGTAGATTGGTTAAATAATCTTCAGTAATAAAAGCAATTAGTAGTTCTTGGCTGTTTTAAATTTCATATCACAAGGAGTAAGATTTCTAGAGAGTGAAGTTCCTTGACTTTGGGATTTAACTTTATAAGCATAGGTATTTTGCATATGTTAGATACTTAAGGTCTTCAAAGAAAATTTAATTACATTTTAAAGAAAAAAAATCATCCTCTATGCCCAGTCTCACATGTAGCAGCTTTCACAAGAGGCTATTTAACAAGAAATGTAGGCTTCAGTATCCTAAAGAATCATTCAAGAGTAGACTTCAACCTGAACATAAGCTTTATTAAAACATTTCCTCATCCTGAAGGTTTCATCTATGAGACTTTCAGTAGAGTTCAGCATTATCAACATCTTATGTTTCCTATAGTGTATATAACTGGGCCCACAGGTGAGTCTGGACAAACTGTCCTCTGTTTCTCCCACTTAATAGTTCTTGGGGTTCCATAACCTCTGACCTCTGTGGTCACTATTGTGGGGAAACAGCTAGGTTTCTAGAGTCTGTCAACTAGATGATGTTTATTCTGTGAGTCCTTCACATTAGCTCAGTATAGCACCCTTTTCTCCCTTATCACATCCACACCCCCAACACCTCCACAGATCTTGCCCCTTCAACCCTAGCACATATTATGTGTGTGTGTGCGTGTGTTTTTTCCTGGCTTAATACTATCAAACCAAGACTAAAATTAACTTCCCCTTCTCAAGCAAATAGTTATTCAGTGCCCTTTCCCAAATCCCTGAATTTGTTCTTTGTCCAGAGTGTGTAGCACTTCTGAAGGTGACTGTGTGTTACTATCTACATTGATTTTCCCTATAGAAGCATCATCATTCTTTAACTGAATTAAATGAACTTCAGTTCCCATCAAATCTTTGATGTAGAATCCAGTAAACATCTCATGAATAATTCTACAAAGCTATTTTTACTCGGTGGCACCCATTTTATTATTCCAATTTTGCATTTGTGGTGATAAAACCCATAGGAGGCTAGCAATTTTTAATCATATATAGCAAATGAGAATTTGTTTTTCTTTGCTAACTCATTCCGAGCTGCTCTGAATTGATTCCCTTTTTTTTTTTTTTTTTTTTCCTTTTCTTCGGTCATTTGATTTGGAGGGGGAAAAATCCATCTTAAATATTCTATCTAAAAAACAAACACTTGGGGGCTGGAAAGATGGCTCAGTGATGGAGAGCTACTGCTCTTGCAGAAGACCCGGGTTCAATTTCCGTCACCCACATGGTGGCTAACGACTGTTGGTAACTCCAATTCCAGGGGATGAAAAACCCTCTTCTGACCTCTGAGAGCATTGCACATGAGTCCACCTACCTACATGCAGGCAATACACTCTTACACATAAAATAAAAATAATAAATAATAATTTTAAAGACCAAACACATGGAGAAGCCACAATGCAGCTTCTGTGAGGTTGCCATCCATTGTGAGATGGGACTTTGTGGTGATGTAACTGTTGGGGGTCACCCATGCTCCTGTAACTCCTCACTTTTGCTCTGTAAGAAGCCCTATAAAATCAGTGGTCTCCTGAGGTTGTACTTCAGAAAAATAAAAACTTCTTTTCTAAGCTCATTTAAATCATGCCATATGTGTATGTATAAATTCAAAGATAATATTCCGGAAAGGAAGAGTCATGCAGAACAGCAATTTAGCAGTGGTCCCAGAGAAAATACGGAAGGAAATCAAGAGCTGTGCAGTAGAACAAGCTAAAGAATCACCAGGACGGTTTCCAAGGTCAAGGCTTTAGGGGTCTAAGAGAGCCAAGCAATTCAAGTTGACAACCTCAACATGCACATAGAGGCTTCTGGGAGGTGCAATTCCAAAATAAAAAAATTGAACATCAGTGTAAGACTGAGCCAGTTTCCAAATGTAATACAAAAGTAATTTATTCTCTAAGATTTATTTTCCACAATGTATGAGCTAAAAAGACAAGGGAATACATTGCAGCAGCTTCTGTGACTGAATTTTTAAAAATGACATAAATGACAACAAGGAAACTCAAATTCTAGAAATAGTTGAGAAACATAATCTTGTCTGATAGATGCATTTGCCATTTGTGAAGGTTACAGAATACAAAGTACAAAAAGTTAGCTACTGTCTAATGTAGCAGTTAAATACAGTCCGTTAAAATAGAGCATTAACTAGCTATGGATCTGGTAGTTTAATGTTCTAAAACGCACTATTGTTTACAAACCAGATTCTTTTCAATACTTTAATTTTATGTTCAGAAACCCATCTTGAGCAACATTAAGCTTAAAATTACATGGTTGCAATATTATTAGGGGGAAAAATTAGTGTTTGATATATGTGTTGGTTATATATTATAGATATTTAACAAATGATAGTCCCATTGAAGTTAAAATTACACACAAACCTTTCATTAGTACATTTAGCATACCCAGTTTTAGAACTGAGATAACGTCTGCAAAAATAATGCTATGGTTCTCTGCCAAGTGTTTTTACTGGAGTGTTCCTTTATTTCACCCTGGCATTAATTCCAACATTGTTTTTCTTTCAGGGCGTGATTCTCAGTCACCAGACCCAGGTACAGAAAAAAATTCTGAATAACTATTGCTTTGTTCTGAGGATTTCTTTTTACATTTCTATAGCCACACTGTTGTTTTCATCTTAAATTTAAATTTCATACACTGTTATATGTATTAAATTACTCTTACAGTTAAGATCACTTTCATTTTAGAAAGAAAAAATCAATTTTCTTTAACAAAAAAATGTTCAAGTGAATGTAGATATCTCTGTATCCAATTTGTCTTCCCTTAATAAAAGCTTGGAGATCTTACAATGATCGAAATCCAGAGACACTGAATGGAGCTGCCACATATTCCTCTCTTACAGCAAAAGGCTTTAGAAGCGTTCGACCAAACCTGCAAGAAAAAAAATCACCAACCCAGGTAATCCAGCTGCTCAAACCTGCTATGTCTTTCTAGAAGTTTCTTTCTCATCCTTTTTCTCACCAACTGCCTTCCTAGTGTTCTAACTGTAATATACTTTGGTCTTCTATTTGCTTTGCCTATCAGACTTATATTTACAACATGGAGCATAAGGTGTAAGTTCAAAACAGGTGTTTTGCTGTTGTTGTTGTTTTGTTCTTTTTTCTAGCTAAGCTTGTAAAAGTAGTTCAGCTTCTACATGATGTTTAAGATAAATTCTAATTATTAACAATCTGACAGCCAATGTTCCAGATTCCAGAAATTTAAAGTCAATAATACATTATGTATTGAATGAGTACGAGTTAGACAACTGTTCATCCTTTTAACTAAAGGGACCAGTTTAAGATGGCAGTAAAATTTTGCTGTGAGCACGAAAATGTTATAGAAACAATGTGATGAACTGTAGACCTCCAGGTCTAAAAATATGACAAGAGGACATATGCTCATCTTAACACAATTTCCAAAACTGTGGATGGGGGCAACATCTGTGAAACAAACGTAGTTGCTCTTCAGAGCAGCTATTGATAATAAATTAGAATGCATTCTGACGGGACTGAAAAGGAGCACTCAATCCAACCTACATAAGTCATAATGTATATGAAGGTAGAGCGTTTTGCTCACCTTTAAGGGCAGGGTTCACCATGTTCTTTTCATGACTAACTTTGACTTTCTCTCATTTTTTCTTCAATATTATTTCTCTTTCTGGACACTTTCAACCATCTAGCCACCCCGTCTGCCAGCCAGAAAAGAAAGCTATTGTTGCTCCTTGGTAACCAATCACACAAAGGGTGACATTTTAGACCCACTAGTAACTAACACACAAACTCCCTCATGTAAAGAAGATTTCACTAACCTAGAACCTCTCTTGGGAGTTATTAAGTCTAAGGAAGATCCTAGCAAGACAATCACATACTCTGAGGAATCCAACACAACCGTGTCATATACACAAAAAATTACTAATGTACTACCAGCAGCTTCCAGCTCAGGTCCTGAACCTTTTGGTGACATCAATACCCCATGTTTACAAGAGGACTACATGAAAGATTCTCAAACTCGTAGAGTTTCTACCTTGAAACTCACCCACAGCCAGGACCTAGGAAGTAGCTTCCCCTTTAATACTCCCCATGCTGAAGTCCCATCATTTCTCAAAAGGCCCTGCTCACCACCCCGTAACCCAAGACCCAAGATACACACAGCATCTCTTTCCATTCAGATAGCTCCCCATTCAGGACATGATCCTGAAAGTCACAAACAGCTACCTGAGCTTCCTTCAGAGACTGCAAAGATACCTCTTCATCAAGAAAGACAGAAATCTGCAGATGCTACGACCTGTCAGTCCTCAGCGGTACATTGCCAATCTCTTTTTCCATGTGTATTGCAGAGGCTCTAACTTCTTGAGTGTGAGCGTCTTATTTAACCTAATGCTTGATTCATTTCCAAGCAGGAAGAGAAAGGAGAAAGAAACAAGTTTAAACCTTACTGACTAAACCCATTAGTAAATTTCTTGGTATCTTTTACATATACGCAAACAGATCTTTCATGTAAAAATCATGTTCTAATGTTTCTTCTTTCTAGATATTTCTTGAAAAACAATGGTAGAGAAGTTGTCCCTAATGACACTCCAAATCATTTGAATACTTAAATTACTTTCTGGTTTCAAAGTCCTGTTTTTCCTGTCAGATCTTTGGCAGTCAGGTTTATCTAATTTAAAGGCACAACATCTCAAGATAAAGCTCAATTATAATGTGCTTTATCTTAATTTCAAGCAATGCTTATTTCTTTGTAGCTAAATATTCATTCACTAAAATGTGACCAGTTTATCACTTCAAAAAGCATATTAATCTAATTTTATTGCCTAGACTTTTGAGAAGTAAATATTTCCACATATGTAAAATTCTCCCTGCCACATCATTCTCCTGACATTTATCACCTCTTTCAAAGAGAAACACATTCTTCTCAGCTTCTCCACAAAATGATGTAGTGTTGATAGCACGAGCCCGAAAGATAAACTATAGATCTTACTCCAAGCTCTATCATTGGTTGTCTGATGAGGATAATGATTAATCATTAATTCATAGAATGTGGCAAGACTAGAGACCCATTAGAGTAGAGCAAGCACCAAACAAATAATAGCCAGTAGTAACAGAGAGAATGCTGGCAACAACAGCATCTGGGGCTGAAGAAGACACTGGCACCCACATAGTTTCTCTGTTGGCTGAGTTATTAAATATCATCTGAACATGCCTTTGAAGACACACATTTTTAAGCTGTAGAAAACCCGCAATGCAAAATCTGACTAACACCATGATTGCTCACACCTAGGGTGCAGAAACTTTAAACATAGATAATTCTAAAGATAAGAGGGTATTTTACATCTATTAACTATTTCTTTCATTGTTATTCATGATACACAGAATTTGTTCAGTAGGATAATTGTTTTTGCAAATATCTTCTAAGATTCCTTAAAAAAAAAAAAAAAAAAAAAAAAGACAAGACTAAATAAGTACCAGGTTGGCCTTGAACCTACCATCCTCCTACCTCTTCCTCCTCTGAGCACCTACTTCTTCCCTCCTATTGAGTGGGCCTTAAGTCCAATTAGATAGCAGTTAATTACACCCAAAATTAAAGTTCTACTACTGCACAAGCAGAGATTATTTGCTGGGCCAGTCACTGTTGTTGTCCATACACTTTACAGCTGGGTAGGATCCCACTGACTGGTTTCCTCCTTTGGAAGCTTACATAGTATCTTCTGATACCATGAGAGCTGGTCTTTGCAGAGGAGGCTTCCAGCTCAGTTGCTCCAAGTCCTGTGTCCGAAGTATGTCCTGTCTTTAGCAATATGGCCTTATGCTCACGTTCTGAGAGGCAATCAAGGACAGTGGCAATGGCCTATATTATTTTGGAAGTCTCTTGGATTACCTGACCAACAACTCAAAGGCAGGTTTCTCATGCCTAGCACTGTGAGTTTTGTTAAGTAGCCATCAGCTATACATATTCACTTACATTTATATGTGTATTTTTCAGTAAGCTTATTAAATACTACATTTACCTTTGGTTTTTCACACCACTTAAACATTGTTTATCTTTTTCTTCTCTTTGCCCCTGTATAGCCCTCCTCCTTTTTAATGATTATCACTATCCAGGCCAGAGATAGTGGGGTTCATAAAAAATAAAAAGAATCTTATCACTTTAATTCATTCATCAACTATTTACTAATTTTATTAATATTTGTTGATCAAGGTTCTAGTCTCAGAACTTTATTTCAGACCATAGATGCTTAATGTCTTCTGTGCAGTATGTAAGTAATAAGAACATCTATATATTATATGCATTAAAAGGGAGATTATGGAAATTAACTTAAACCATGTTAAGCAGAGATGTGGGGAGCAATGCCATGTTAAACAGGGTGTTCAAATATATGCTCCCTCCAAAAGATATAACAACTTAGAAGAGAAGACTATTCCAGGCAAAGGAACACATAGTGTGAAAGCTGTGAGGCTGGGGCCTGAAGGAAAGGGAAAAGGTGGGGCACAGAGTGACAAAAAGTGAATTCAGAGGTAACAGCTGACAGAAGCCCTGGTGAGCCACTGTAAGGATTCTGATGTTATGCTCAATAAAAGAGAGAGTCCTAAAAGATTTTGAGGCCACCGTGATCATTATCTGACTTACCTTCTAATCAAATCATTCCACCAGCTCAGTTGAGAGCAAGGCTAAGGCAGCAAGGGAGGAAGCAGGCAAACCAGTTAGGAAACCATTGCAGTAATTCAGACTAGAAACCAGCTTGGGTCCAAGCAAGGGTGGAAGCAGTGGAGGAAGCCAGAAATCTGATGGTGGGGAGTATTTCAAAAGCAGAGCCAGCAGAACTTCCTGGCAGATTGCAGGTGGGATGTGGGAGAGAAAAGTCAAGATGGACCAGCTGGAAAGAGGGAACTGCCATTGACTGAAACCTAGAGACTGTGGACGGGTACAGGAAGTAGGGTTAGACACACGAATGGAGATACAGTAAGTCTGACGTGTCTTTAGAATCGCAAGAAGAGGTGGAGTGTGGGATGAGAGAGTTTGGCATTCAGGGAAATGTCAAGGTTAAAGATAAAAGCCATCAGCTTTCTGTAGCCCTGAGAGAGTGAAATCAACAGAAGTGAGGGTGGAGAAAGGAAACCACACGATTGAGCTTGTGCTCCACATTAAAAGAATCAGGCACTTAAAAAATAAATCAAAGGAGAAGAAAGAGTACATGAAAAAAAAAAAGACACAGGATCTTATCAGAGAAAAAGTATTCTCAAGATATGTAAACCAGTGTTTTAGGACCAACTTCTCTTTACAGAACGGTAGATAAGACTACAAGTCCTAGATCTAGCTTGCTATTATCTTTCAGAGTTATTGTGTAATGAATTAATACATGTAAATAATTCAGAGTAGAGTTTGTCCCATAATATGTTAAAATATCTGCTTTTACTAAGGGAAAAAAAGAATCTAAGAAGTCAATGAAATGGCATGAAACTTTTAAGACAGTACTGATGTTAAATGTTTCAAACTTGTAAGTGTTCAACTTTTGAATATCTCTACTATAAATAAAATTTGAGTATGCACCACAAAAAAAAAAAGGCAAGCAGACTGACATCAGCATCTCCAAAGAGGAAGAAACTACATGGAAATATGGCATGATAAAAGCCAAGAGAGAAAAATACGGAGGGATGGTGGAAGGACCTGTACAAACACTGCTGCTGGGACAAGCATAGGATGAGAGTGAGAGTGTGCTGCTGAGTCAGGACGGAATGAGGACGGAGGAGTTCCCAGACTGGTATTAGAGGATGGAGGTTTTCCCAGACTGGGATTAGGACAGACAAGGGAGGAAGGCAGTTGGGTGAGCAGTTCTTTCAAGGTGTTACTATTCGCCTCTCTGAACTTCAGTTTCCTCATCTACAAAATGGGACTAAAAACATTCATCTCAGAGAGTTTCT